ACGACCACGTCGATTGTCCGCGAGGCAAGCATAACTTATCTTTCTTCTGTACTTTTTATTAATTTGGTGGATGGTTCGATCTGCCTGTGGTCTCTTGTTTCCGATCACCCGTGGACTATGAATTTGGATACGATTATACTTAGTAAGTATGTTGTGGATCGCTTGTTCGCCTGCAAATGTCTGCAACACCAGCACATGTCTTTTCTGCATCCAACTATGATATCGGGCGATTGCGCGTCGTTAGATGTGTCTTGTCGGTCGAGTAGAAACTCAGAGACTCTGGAAGGGTCTTGAACGTTTCACGTATGACGAAATTTAGAAAATAAATAAATAAATAAAAAAAAAAAAGAAAAATAGTTAGAAACTGAGTTTTTACTCAATGCTACCGCCTGAGATCGTTTATCGATTCATGCGCTGAATGATACGCTTTTGGAATTTGTTTCATGCGAACGACAGAAGTTGATCGAGGTGTGCATAGCTTTAAAGGTCTGTCCTTCTCTTTACAAACGCCCATTGTCTTTTGTTTGTCGGCCTTAGTAGAGCTCCGAGAATAGCTAACAAATTTTTCGTCTGACTTTTATCTGTTCGTTAAATATATAGAGTTCGGAAAGGTGTCCGCTTCTTTCTCGTTCGGTATCTTCGATACGCATACAGTAATGTCTCCCCTAACTGCACCAAACTCGGGGCTGATCTTGTGCAGTTACCGTAGAGTTCATATATTCTCTGATGTTTCTCAACGAGCTTCGAACGTAGGAGAAAGCAGCGAATAGAGAAGAGTCGAACTCCTCGACCCCTTAATTTCTACTCGACGAGATATCAACGAGAAAGAAACGAACCAATACCTTTCCGAACCCTGTACATTTAGTTTATAACGACGAGTAATCGATCAAGAAATGAATTTAATTCGATTCATCTGTTATACAAGATCCATACGTAGATGTCGCGTGTACATGGACAATTGTTTTATTTTTTTTTTAAACTGTCCAAGGTCGAGCGATATTTATACCGACCATCGTTTCCGTATATTCAACAGTTTCGAGAAATAATTGCGTGTATACGCTCGGCTCGGGCATATACCGTATATTTCCTTTTGTTGTTAGTTTGTTCAACTCCGACTATGTTCGTGATAGTGACGCATATGTAACATTGGCAAAACCTTGATTTCACGTTCTCGTTAACTTTCGATCGTAACGTAGAATTAACTCGGTACGTTGTGTTTGTACCTATAATCGCCGCGTGCTTTCTTCTCCTTTGTTCTCCATCGCACTATACTTACATCACTCGTAGATACACGGTACTCGAAATTCCCTGTACTCACCTGAAATAATTCCAGAATAACGTGCCCGGATATGGCGACGGCGCGAAGGAGGACTGCAGCGATCTACCGCCGAACCAACGGAAAAAGAGATTGCAACAAAGGCTCGACGAGATTCAGGCGAAAATTCAACAGGAAACAGCGGCGAGGGACGGTTTGATGAAGATGAAGGGCGTGTACGAACAGAATCCTGCGTTAGGCGATCCGATGAGTATAGAGGGACAATTGAATCAATCGAGCAACAAGCTGGACAAGCTCGGCGCAGAGTTGGCAAAGTTCCAAGGTTATCTCGAAGAAGCGATGCGCGCTGGCGTCAGTTTATCCAGGTGTCCTTGCTAAATCTTCGATAGACTATCGCGATATCTACCTCAGTGTTTCTCAAACCACGGTTCGCTTTGAGATGAAATAACGACGCATATGCGTTAGGCCGATCGCGCACGGGCGCAACCGATCGATTTCAAATCACTCTGAAACTAGTTGCATGCGACCGTGGATCTAGGTAAAACAAAGAGCGCAAACGGTTTGCAACGCTAATTTCAAATCTGTTACTCCCGTGTGCGATCGACCTTACTCGACTTCAAATTTGAGAAGCACCGATCCGAATAATGCATGCGCGATCGTTTTGCTTTCTTTTCTTTCGCAAGTATTTTATAAGTGTAACGTTTCAAAATTATCTTCTTTCTTTTGCTAAAGACCGATCCACGTAATTAACGGTTTATCGCACGGTTGAAATTTTTCAGTCCGAGCCAAGCACCGCGAAAGCCGACCAGCAACGGGTCCGCAACGAGGCCGCTGAGCTCGAGAAGATCCAGTCATTCGGGAGGCGAGGAAAGTCTCTCGAGATCAGCCTCCGATTCCAGCGTGAGCAACGTAAACGCTAATCAACCGATGAACAAGAAAAGTGCTCCGAGCACGCCGCAACCCACGCACGGGTAAGCTTTTCATTGATCATATCGTTTGCGGATTTCACAGCTCAGGATCATCGAGGTGAACGGTTCGCTCTTTTCTTTTTCTCCAATTTCTTTCTTTTTTTTTTTTCCTTTGTTAACGGAAGAATCGTTACGATAATGAGTTACTGAACTCGTATAAATACAGAATCAGAATTTTTAACTAGACCAATTAGACACGCTTTTCGCTTTACGGTACTGATGCACAGTTCCACGAATAGCCCGGAATCTGGCCTCGGGGAATCGAGGACGTCTCTTCCTGGTAGCGGCGGCGAAGAGTATTACGTCGACGAAATTGACGCTCAACCGCCGTTGGGGACCTGTAGGGCACTTTATCCCTTCGATGGTACGCGTGTTACACGACTCGATAGCGTATCTAGCGTCATAGAACAATATTAATTTCGTATTTGTGGTTTTAGCGACAAGCGAAGGTTCCATACCGATGTACGACGGAGAAGAGTTATACATGATCGAATTGGATCAAGGGGACGGCTGGACTCGTGTCCGACGCATTTCTCAACCAATCGAGGGCTTTGTGCCTACGTCATACATAGAGTGTCACCTTTATAACACTTAGCCACTTCTCTTAGAATGTGTAAACGATCACGAAGTGGAAAGCTTCGAAGAGGATGGACATTGATAATGCTATCGGTTCAATACGGTACATTGGACGGTCGAAGATAGCAATGAGATTTCACCAATCGAGGGTTATGTGTTGGTTGATTGGCACAGGATTTCGGGACACTCCGTTGATAAATCGTGGGCCTAAACGTTAACGGACGATTTCATGCGAACGAAATTGAATATATATATTATGTGCCAACGGGTCTGACTTTTTGGTGAGGTACTCGTCGTTTAGTCAATTACGTCCAACACACTTCCCTCAGTTTTCCATCGGCTTATCGAACGTGGATGAACAAAGGGAGGCTCTGTGTTCCGGAACCTAGGTTCCGTTAAGCAAATGATCGCGTACTTGAATTCAATTAATTCTTCATAGGATATTAAGATCGTACGATTATTTAGAATGACGTTGCATCCAACCGTTGAAAGGGTTTGATCATACGCATTCGATGTTGCTGAACTACGGTACAGTCTTTTTCTATTAAAGAAAAAAAAAAAAAAAGCACGCCCTGATCACTTCATGGCCCCGAACATGTGCCTCTATATTATAGTCGTGCACAAACGAATAATTTGCAGCTCTACTAAAGAAAGTGACTAGTTTTCATGTATGCAATACGCGTCCCGCCTATACGTCACATTAAAAAAATTGTGATTATTGTAAATGCACGAATTTTATCTACCATATTTTTCTTTTTTTCATTTTTTTAATTGAGTCGATCGTGAAACAGAAAACTCATAAAGTAATTATTCTATCATCGTCAAAGGTTGAGGAACCGATGTGTCTCTTAATGCTTTTCATTTTTTTTTACTTAAACGAATATATACGACGATTTGTTGCCTCTGTCGATGATAGGAAAGTGATGCTGCTACTTCGTGATTACTTCGAGTCGTTATTGTTTTTTATCGTATTAGTTTGTTAATCGACGTCTTCGTTGTAGACACAAAAAGAAGGTGATTAGGTGGTGCTCTGTACAGCAAGTAGATTCCGAAGGTTCGTCGGCCAAGTTTTGTTTCTACGGATGCTGCCTGGATGTGAAATTAGTTAGGATATATTTGTGTACATATTGCAAGGGATATGGGAGGAAGAACTGGAGCGAGTGGTACGTGTGCGAGTGCCAGATTCGATGTATCGCGCGAAGAGACGAATTTGCTTCCATTTCGCGTGGACACGTGCGAAACAGTGGCGTTGGCTTTTTTTTTTTCTTTAAACGCTTCTGTTTCCACGCATTTGGGGGGAAAGTCTCTAACTTCGCCGTTACAAAGCCTAGATTCGTCCTAGATTCGATTGCGATGTATCGAAATCGTGTAGTCGTATATATATATATATATATCCTCGCGTACTAAAAATATGTATATGTATATAATTATATATAATACTATAATCACTCATTAAAAGAAATGTAGCTTCGGTATATAAGATACGCAAGTGAAACGAGAGAGATCGGTGACCCTCTCCTCTGCCAGTTCATTCGCTGTAATTTCTTTATGCGAATGACGTATACAATTTTATCGTTAATAAGTCTTACCGCGTTTCGAACAGTCATACCAACGTGCGCATTTGCGGGTTCGTAACCCACGAGACGACTTTCTTTTTATTTATCGTTAGTCGCGAAAGCATCGAGGAAGCCTGAAAAACGCAAGAGTCGATAATGAATTTGTATGCGGTCAACGACTTCGACGGAAAGTCAACCGAGAAATGCTTTTCGCTCGTACAAACCGTTCCCTAACATAGATCGTCTATCACTTTTTCGAGAGTGAAACTAGGATCGCCAGATAACGATAGAAGAAACAAACAAAAAAAAAACTGAGGAAAGAAAGTCCGTATGTCTACCTTAATTCTTAACATTAAACCGCGTCCATTCTATGTATATTTTGTGATTTTATATCCATGAACAAGTATTGTAGATAATTAACTCTGTGACTCATTATACGTTTAATTATTAATTATTATTAATATTGAAAAAATATAGGTACTAAACCAATGTGTCGCGTTTTGCTATTTTATGTAACTACTGTGTAAGCTCAATTTCCTGCTTTCCGCGTTCCTATCTGTGGATAATGTTCGGCGTTAGTAACGCGTAAAGAAAAGGTACGTTTGAGGGAATAAAAATGGGGAATTGTGTTTCGTAAAGTATATTGCAACATTTCACGGACAATTGACTAGATCAGAAATACAGAGTAATACATTCTGATGTGTATTGTGCAAGTACACATAGCTACATATAAATTAAATATAAACGTTCTTGCAAATTCTTGCAAGCACATACGTATACGCATCTAAACACAGAAAAGCTGTCAATTCTCACGTAATCAACAATTATACCTGAATTATGCTTTTTGTAAATATATATCTCTTTTTCGTGTGTGTGTGTGTGTGTGTGTGTTTTTATAAAATCAAATCGACGTTCTATTATACCGAGCAGTCCGTACATTGGCAGTCGAATGATTGAATATACAAAATATGTCGCAATATGTCAAATCCACGCATAAAAAATAATACAACGTATCTTAAGTTTACAGGGTACTTGTTCAGAGTTAGTAAAAATATGGTGATAAGTTGGATCGGCAACTCGCAATGTAACGCCGTACATCGATCGCGGCAATGATGCGGCCGAATAAAGTCAAGAAAAAGAGAAAGAAAACACACGGTAGAAAACGGGTAGAAGAAGCGACGATCGATCGATTCATTCGCGAGATCAATGCAGAAAGTTCCAGGTACGCGGCAAGTTTTTGCTGTTAAGTACTGATCGCGAAGAACGTCAGTTACAAAGAGTTGTACGTTTCCTGACGAGTTTATTCGTTTTTTACCATTCATCGCTTACGCATGCTGTCGGTCAGTCGTATACAGTCACTGTACAAAATATTTGCTATTTGTTCTCGATTCGCGCGACGATTCGTTTGCAAACTCTCAATCTTAGTCAAGATAAACGAAAGCAAGCTACATTCGCGTAGGACGAACATTCGCCGATCCACCCCTTTGGCAGATTTAATTGTTTTCCTTAGGCTGTAGATCCGCTTCAAATGGTGAGATCTTCCCATTCTTCGACCTCCCTGGGCGTCAATTCGACTCTGATTCGGGTCAAGGTGCCGAGGAGATCGTGCATCCTGGGCGTCAGAGGGTTGGCTTGGAGATCGATAAATTCCAAAACGGGAGCATGCCTCAGCCTCTCGATGTCTACGTCTGAAAAATGTACATGTCCAGATTAAAACATAGACGTAATCATTTCAATTGGATCACCAATGAAAGTATTCGAAATGCCTCTTACGTAACAGACTTACAACACCTACCTATGATGGAGTTGTTGTTGGCGTGAAGGTGCTTCAACTGTGGTATCCGACAAGTAACAGGTGGCAAAGCGATGAAAGTATTATGAGAAATGTTCAACCTTTCCAGAGCTTGTAATTCGGCAAGTTCCTCTGGTAGCTTGCTCATTTGATTATGACTCAAATTCAGTTCTGGAAACAATTACCTATTTATACTACAGTAAAATTTCCAAAAATTATTGTTAGTACAATTGAAAAAAAGGATGATATTAAAACATCGATTACAAAACCTTGCGATCAATATGTATACATATCAGACTTACCAGTGATCAGCGAAAATTTCACCGCGAATTTCGGTGGGATCTTTGTTATCACGTTCCCAGAAAGATCGCATCTTTTCAATTCCGTGTGTCTCATTAAATGGTAAACAGCATCCGGAACCTGCATCAATTGGCATTCCGATAGATCTGCAACACGAGTAAAATAACAATAATAACGTTGCGAATCCGTATTGAAAATTTAAATGTAAACAATCGAAAACTACGTTTATTATAATATGTAGCAAATTAGTTTTGTAATCTGCACCGTCGTATCGTGCTCTCGACAGATCAGCTGTCAAACTAGGTCAGCGTATCAATACTAAACAAAAGTAACAATCGAAATTTTACATTTTTCGAATGCTGTACGAAACATTGTTGATTTCTCATTTCGGATAGTACGTCGTATCCACTGAAAATCACACAAACAACGCGCGATACTTTAACAAACGGACACAATTTTTGTTTGTAGAACCCGCGATACACCTGTAGCAGAGGAAAGTAGGTCATAAACTAGATCAAAGTACCTTAACGCGCAACGACAAACAGAAAAAAATTAAGTGGAAATTTCGACGAGAAACAAGGTGTCGGTACTCGAATCGTTCAACATTTCACTTCGTTTTCAAAAAACAATTTACCGAGACTCTTGTTCTCTTGTGCCTCTTCGCAGCGCAATACGACCCTCGTGACGGCATTCGCCATCTTGCCAAGGCAGACTGACTCGTTACGAGTTCTTGAATCTGCCGTCTGGCCAACCTATCGCCAAACATTTATTTCCGACCAATTACCAAAATAAATAGAGCCCGTTTATTGGCTTCGGAATTCATGCCAATTAATTCTACCTTCCGAAAGTTCGAAAATTTCGAGACGATACTTTTTACCAAGACGTTCCTCGCACTTGCATACTTCTCCGGATAATATGAATTCTATCACGGTCGCGGGACTATGTAAATTTGTAATTTAAATTTCCGAGAATTGGAAAATGGGTGCAGGCGCATTTGAAAGCATTTGAAAGGTGCGAAAGTAGACGCGAGACATTCGCTTGTTCGATGTCGCGCTAAATTCTAACGTCGCCATTTTTCTTGCGCATGCTCGTTCTACTCCAGTTTTGATCGCGCTTTTCTCGGATTCGGATCTAACAACGTTTTAGAATTTTCATTCCTAAGAATATTTTCATCGGTGCGTCTTTCTTGTCGTCAAGAACGCGTCGGCGTGACGTCGACGTTTAAACGACACGAGGTAATATATAATAGGTTACTTTTTGTTCGAAGCGTAGGTATTAGAATTAGATATTTAAAAAGCTTCGATCGCGAGGAACCGCTCTTTTTCGTCGAGAATCGCAAAGGGAATCTTTTTATTATGCGAAGCACGTCGCATCGTGAGAATTCCGACGTTATTAACCGAACGGACTAACCGACTGTGTTTTACTGTATGTATCGACAGTGACGATTACTTTTTGCAATAAAGTAGTAAAGGGCTTCGGTGGCAAGCTACCATTTAAGGTTACGTTTCCATACATGGTGGCGCCTCGCGTACCTGTGTTCACGTCGTTCGGGATGCATACACTCGTATTTTACCGCGTCGGTACGAAGGAATCCATTAGTCGCAGATACGAAATTATCTTAGACATTTAATCCTTATGCGTACATTAAAGAAAATTTTGGAGCAAAGTATCATTTAAACAGCGTAGGACACGTACTAATATAATGTTTATTTTTCAGGTTAACGTTCCGATCGAACGATAAAACTACAGGCTGAGTCACTCGTTCGAATACCCGAGATAGGAATGAACCAAGTGGACACGCGAAGCAGGTATCGGTGAGCCTGATATGTTATATCGGGTTGTCCGGAAAGTTCATGCCTATTTTTAAGAAAAATTCAAAGGTATATTTATATTTATTGTATATTTATTGAATTATAATATATATGTACCATTTTGTTCCACAACCTTCCCACCTGTTGACGAATGTACACATTTTATTTGTTTTCAGCCATTCCAATATATTCAGACCTGTACTTCCTACTAAAAATCGGCATGGACTTTCCAGACAGCCCAATATTTAAAAAAAAGATACAAATTCTAAATATCAAAATTATGCGGCGTAATGGTATAAAAGAAGTTTTAAAAGTACCAACGACTAAATGACGCAACGAATGAGTAATCCAGTAGCGCTTTGTTGCGAATACATGTAAAAAGGATCGGGAAGAAGGAACGACTCTCGCACGGCATGCAAAGCGCGCGTATTTTGCTCTGCCAAGGCCTCGTAGCGGTTCACTATTCCGAGATTGACCTTTCGTACACGCGGATGCCTCCAAAACGTGCAAGAGATCTTTCCCGTTGATGGACCGTTGACTCATAGTCGGCTGTATGCCGTCGCGTAACGATATCAACGACGATGGTTTACTTTAACCGTATTGGCGTTTTACCGACCGGTAGCGTAATTATAACACGTTGGCTGCCACACTGATTCGCATGGAAATGTCTACAGGACTAAAATTTCGTCTCGAGACAATTAGAAATGATAGAATCTAACACTTATCGTATTACTTATTTTTGAATTCTCATCGAAATTTACGAATTCTATCCAGACTTGTTTTCATCGATACTTAGTCCTTCAAAATTATTTATTAAAATTCTTTAGCGAAAAGCTCCGTCAGCCATATGTGGGTGACGTGACGTTCAACGTGTTAATCGTCTGGGTATTTTGCTAAAAGACAACCGATACTCTGTTACCTACTATAATTATTAAAAATAGGATCGTGTCGAACAATTAACGGTACTGGTACCATAAAAAGAACAACGCGTGCGCGCACCGGCACGCGACTGGCTCGATTCAGTGGCACGGGGAACAAAGACCGGACACGAGTTGCGCAACGCAATGTTTATCCAGCCGATTATCTATGCTAGAACCACCGCTAAGCATTTCACTTTTATTCGAATTGATGCACGAGCCGCTACCGCGACGAGAAACACCGCCACCTGTTACGTACGTATGTCTAGCGGTCTACCCGACGCCGACGGGACCAATTACAATCGAGCACAACTATCGCTTGGCACATCGCGTTCGAATCGTTACAACACTTTCGGTGCGTCGGCAAACTGAAATTTTACTCCTGTATAGAGTCACCGAGTCGCAGTGACGGTCGACGACATAATTGTACCGCGGGCACAGGTAATTATTTGACTTGGAACATTTGTCAACCCTCTAGATAACACTGTATTTTATTGGTAGGTCAGTCTGGCGCGAGGTGTCACCATCAGGTCATCGTTTCCTTGGGAAAAAGACGGCCGAGCTTATCGCGAATCCGTCCGAGGATCGCTAACGAGCGTTATTACAGAAACGCGCGTTCTTTCGTAGAGCGATGCCTCGAGTTTAACCGTCGAGTACCTCTCGCTCTCGTTTTCTCCGCATCGAGACTTTCGCCAGTTACCGATTAGAAATCTCGTGTTCACGACCAAGTGTACATTCGTGGCCGAGACTCGTGCCAGCTTTTCTTTTCCACGGTGTACGATCGGTCCAAAAAGTACGGAAAATTTCAGAAAAGTCTCGCGAACGTCCGAGAATCATCGAGACGGAGAACGCTGACGCAGATCGAGTCGAACAAAGCGTGAACGAATCGGCATCGAGGAAGGTCTCGAATCTATCCGGGTGTACGGATAAGGCAAGGACCCGAGTCCCGTTCTTTCTTCCAGGTTGAATCAGGAAGCGAATCGCTCGGTGTTCGCGGACTGGCGTGTCCATGGATCGCCTTTATTCCAAAAACGCGCTTCACGGTCCGTCCGTAGATCTCGCACGGTCCGTCGTCCATGGTCTCTTCTGTAGGGGGCGACATGCAATGCTGGTCGAGCTAATTCGTCTCGGTAGTTTGAAATTCGAGCTCGTTACGGGACGGTCGAATCGACGAATCAAGGCCGGCCAGAAACACGTATCGTGTTGCCAATTTTATTAGTCACTGCAGCGAACGTACCTTAAGGTCACTCTGTTACACGTGTCTATTAATTGCTCGGTTGCACCTTCTTCCATGCCGAAACATCTGTCCTACTAGAACAACGGGATATCGATATCAACGATATCCGGCTGACTCTTCTTTTTCAAAACGTTGACAATCCAGAGCGTCTCCTAAAACGCCCGCTACGAGATTCTACGATTTTCTTTATCCGTGCCGTGCCAGGTTGTTTCGCCACGTAAAATCTTGGGAAACCGATCGAGCTTACTCAAAACCGACCACCGGTGTGGTAATTAATGCGCATTAACATTTCACGCTGATACGCAATCGTAGCATTGTTCGACACCCTTATCAGCGAGACGTTATTATCGTATCGATGACTAACGCGCCAATTCCGCGGAATTAGTTTATTTGTACGTTTTCCGCGTGTCAACCCCGGGAAAAAGAGCGTCAGCTAGCGTTGGACAACTTTGCAGTAGTTGCTCGTAATTATAACTTTTCTGTATCGTTTCTGTATCCAACAGATAACCAATTACATTGTACGATAGTTTGCGTAGCTCTGTTAAGATTGCACAAAAAGCAACTAAGGAAATCGAATCGTAATCGTGGATTGCGCGGAGCCCGATATCGGTGCCAGGTACCAGCTCGATCTTCATCGCGTAATAGAAACAAGACGAGCGCTAGACAAACGTTTCGACTCGGTTTCTTTCCCCGAACGAAATCCTCGCGCGAGCGAAAGTGCGATACCTCAAACGCGGAAAGATATCGCGGCGTAGAAAGTATGAAACGCGGACGAAACAGTTACGACGCGCGTCGCGTCGGTTCGGCAACCGATTCTACCCGGCTTATCCGAGTCAACATTCGTGTTTCGAGACTTCAGGTGGCAACGATAAAATAATTTGTAAAATTATAAATCGCGAAATTTAGAAATTGCCTGCACTTAAAATTACCGAATTTGGTTCAACTTGGAGGAACAAAAAATATCATGTTTAATTATTTCTGTTACTATATGCATCATATATACTATGTACACACGTTAACAGTATGCAACCCTCGCGTAGACAGTACGCACGCATACATTAACAGCATTCAAGTTTTAGCATAAAAATTTTTAATTTTGCGCCGCCTCCGAAAAGATTGCATTGTATTTAACGTGCTGTATGTAATAATTTAAGAGTATTTATATAAATTGATTAGAAATTATTTCATACTTTTTTAGTGCAGTTGTAACGTTCTTCGAAGTCGGTTATATTTTCTTTCTCAAAAATTATTCTACCTTTGCCCCTGAAGTCTACTCGAAACTCGAACGTTGACTCGGATAAGCCAGATAGAGTTGGTTGCCGAATCGACGCGCGTCGCAACGCGTTTCATACTTTCGTGGAATACTCGTGGAAATATACTCTATCGAATATACATGTAAATGCTCTTATTTTTAAGATCTAAACACCGTGTCTGTTTCGAACGATTAGATCCAATATTTTCGATAATTCCATCCCAGGTTTGAATAGGCTTCCAAATACCATGGAATCCTTCTTACTATAAGACTTATAGTATAAGTATTTAGGATTAGGAACTGTGCCAGGTTTTCATTCTCTCTGAATCGCGCCGCGAGCATCGTAAAGGCTATGAATCTTCTTTGAAACCGTGGGCCGCGAGCCTCGGAAAGGTTAACAACCGTCGTGGATTCGCTCGTTTTAGATTCGGCCATCGAAAACATTTTCCTCGAATCGATTTTCCTTTTACTCTTAGAAAGTTGTCCCGCGCATTTGAATCCAGAGTGACCGGGCTATCGATGCGGTGATCGAACGCTGTCGACGATATTAGATCGCTCGGTCACGGGACCGGTACGTACCTAGATTGCAATTGTCCTGAGCCTCCTCGCAACGGGAAACTACCCTGATTATCGCCCTGCCCGCCAACTGCACGCAAACAGCCATGGCCACGTTCCTCTCGCCTTGCTCCTGAGATACTTGTTGCACTTGGTCGGCATTGTACGCGGGCGGTTTCATCCTGATATGAAAATCGGTCCCGTGCCAGAGGTAAAGTAACGTTTCGTGTACTATCTCCTCCGAAATCCTCCGAAATCCGATATACGTAATAACTCAAATTTCTTCTTGTTCGCAGTATCGATTCCAGCACTCGATTCTCCGGCTATCAGGAGATTATCATGTTTCCAGTTCCCTTGACGGTGCACAACCGACGCTGCAGACGCACTTCTCCGACGTGATACTTGGCATGAGACCGTTTACGCCGAGGAAAACTGACAACGTCCTGACAACGAGTCCGATCTCCAGGACATCCACGGCTTTCCGAACGGTGCACGGTAATTCGCGGTTTCCGCTCGTCTGCGCTCGAGATGAAAAACGAGAGCGTTTCAGGCGACGCTGCTCGGCACTGACGCGTCGCAACTCCACGCGGTGCTATTTAAGCCCTCGCTGATGGCGGCACTCCCACCAGGTATCCATCTCGGATCAGCTGACTACTTTGTTTCGATTCCCTCTCTTTGTTTGAAAACAACCGCAGGGATCCCGCTGCACGCGCCTCGGTCGCCACGGCCAGGTGCGGTTGGATCTGCGACTCGTTCGAATTGGCGGTGCACTTCTCGCAGGGCAAGGTCAACCCGATCCAGGACGTTTAGCGTTTCAGGGACTTCCGTGACTTTGTCTCGTTGTCAGAGAACATTAACGCGTTACACAAATTTATACAAACGTTACTGTTGCAGTATCCGCGCCTTCCATACCCAACAACAAGGAGTCAGACGAGAACACGAAACGTAGGATACGGGTTTGGTCGCGTAGATAAAGCGGTCCACTGTGGATCCGAGGATCGTGGCTTCGAATCTCTGTCCCTTATTTTTCGTTCAGACTCCTACGCTATAAATTGACGAATGTAAACAATTTCAAACGCAGCCCGCCATTGCTAGAAAGAATCTTTCACCCGCATTTCGATTACTCCCGGAAGGAAGACTAGTTACATTTTTACTTCTCGTCAGGTTCCTCCTTCGAATCGACAAATCGTAGCGTCCCGTTACGGAATCAATTGCTAATCGTCTTCGTCTATCGCATAAGCGTTTTAATCCATTCCAAGTTTCTTTCATCTTTGATTCACGACGCGTGGAAGAGCATTTCCAATTGTTAATCGATTTTTCACGGCCTCTCCACAGCGTAGAGTTGCGCAATACGAGGCGTGAAGGAAGCGTTCGACGCTGGAATACCATAGAGAAAATTATACAACGTTTTATGAAACGATTCCCCGATTGTCGCCAGCGGGATATTTTATTTTATATTTCGCCGCGACGTTATGTAAACAACAGCGCAATTAACGGCACGCCTCGCGCGGCGAGCACACGGAAGCGAACAAGCCGCTGCGATTAAAGTTTTCACGCCGACAACTTCGACACTTTATCGCGTGAATTTTCGTTTATATCTCGAAAAAGAAATTTCTTGTACGTTATAGAGACATCCATTGCGAAGCGGAATCCGTTTACTCGTTGGTTTCGGATCGAAACCACACGAGTTATGACCGGTAAACAGCATATCGAGATGTTATTTGCCAATACGGTATTGTCTCGAAACAAGCAACCGAGAGATCCGAAAAGAACTCGATTTTACTAGTGCGAAAATGAGAAATCATGTTCTGTTCTATCCTTCTCCAAAGAATAACACTCGTGCTCGAGCGATCACTTTATAGTTTGCCGCTACACCAAATCCCCTGTTTTATGTATGGCTGCTCCTTTTTCGAGAACAAAGTCAAGGCGAATAGCATTACCTCCGTCGACAATAATAAAATAATTCGCTCGGGAACTCGCCGGTCCCGACCGAATTGCTTCTTTCGAGACAGTACTGTACTCCAAAGTCTATACTATATGTTCAGATTTCGACATTCGATGCTACACAGTTTTCTCGCTAAAAAATTCTCCAAGATCGGTTCGTTTTAGAGACGCCGTCGGGGTAGTTATACGACTCGAAGCGCTTCCGGTCCGCCGGCATCGAGAGCGAAACCTTTGTCCACGGAACGAGCGTTTTCGCGCGATGATATCCGCTAAAAGCGTCGGCGTCGTCCAAAACGCAAGGTCGAAAATACGACGAACTTTTCGTTCGGCACGATGCCTACTGCGTCATTAGAAACGCTCGTTATTCTCGCGAAGATCGCGCGAATTTTTCCAGCTGGTCAAGAGATTCTATCCGTCGCACGTTTCTCTATACGAATTCGATACTCGCGTATCTCGCAAGCAATTACAAATCATTCTCTGCGACAACTGTTTCACCAAAATCCGTATGAAACACTTGGACGTGTCGTTCGTGGATTTTACAGAGCGAAAAGCATACGATAAACGTATCGAATTCAGGATACGCGCTTATGCAAGAAGAATATTTTTTACGTTAGCATACGTCACGAATATATGTAATCCGGCGGCCCGTGTAATTAATTTGTAATTTCTTTTGCGAGCTTGTTACCTCGCGAGCATCGGAGCAGAGTAACGCAATTAACAAAGTAACGTTTTATATTTTAACCCTTTGCAACTCGAGGCCATTTTTCTGGTATCTATCAACAACTCGAGCTTTCAACAACTAAGCTTTCTTAGCATTCCGTTGTCACGAATGCTAAGCTCAGATTAACTTCCAAGTATCTCTCCTTAATTCGAGATTTGAGAATCAGTTCACCTTTGCCTCAACGGCAATCATTTTATCGATACTTCGAATTCCAAAGAAATGAAACCTAAAGAAAACCTAGTGGTGACTGAGAGTCTCCTCTCGAGTGCGAAGGATTAAGACAGGAGTCGCGCGCGAAACACGTGCACGGTCGCTTCGTTGCGAATAATAAACAACTAAACGAGCGTGTCTGGAGGACAAAAGGGTGTACCGAATCGGCCGCTCGCGGTTTTGGCGAACATCGCGAGATCGAGAAGCGTGTACGTGTCGCCACATTAAACAACGTTTCTGCGGCGTTCTCCTCGTATCTCTTCAGTGCGTGCGATCGCGGTTCTAAATAGGAAAATCTACGCTTCGACGTCCAAGTGAGTCGTTAAAAAACTAAAGATCCGAATCCGGAGTCGACAGATATTCGTGGAAATATATTCAATCGAATACATAAACTTTTAACTCGTCGTAAAATATGTCATTCTATTATTCGATGTTTGATTTTTATCTAACGAGTAACGAACGAACAGTCGTTGTACGCGACGTCTGATAAAGATACAAGTTCTTCTACCCACTTAGAATTAGTACCGTGTAATTATCTATCGCGGTCGAAGGCGGAGTACTCGGCCATCGATCGCGGTCTTCTCTTTTCTCGCGCGGAGGCCCTTGCACTCCATTCATCGTGCAGTCCCAATGCCCAACAGGGATAAAATGTTTATACGATTCTTCGGTATGCTTGGCACGTGGCCAGAGGATACTGCGCGTGCATTTCACGGACCAGGAATAGATTCGCGGGCCAAAATCCCCCATGACTTCTCTCTCGTCGTGTTCGTATCGACTCTCTCGTATGGACGTACGCGGGATAAAGGTTGCGGTGCATCGAGATCGATGCACGCAGCACGTGCACGTGGGCGTGGGTGTGCGTCTCTGCGTATATCGACCGCAGAAACACGTTTTCGATTCGATGTAGTTTCTCCCGTTCCTGTTGCTATTCCAATTCCAGATGCAACGATCAATTTTTCTTCGGGAAAACGCGTAATTTGATCGCACCACCGTAATTTATGTTTTCGTTCGTCGAGAACAAACGAAATCTCGCTGGTTTCGTTCTATCGACATCGTCTCTGTAGCATAGTCGATGACTGTACAGCGTGCACTTCCAAAACTACGTGTGAATTTTATATCCGGCCATGATCGCCGCGATCTGAGTTTACGCCAACTGTGGTCTGGCAGCGACGGAAAGAAACATCACGCTTCCACGAATAAGTTCGTGCAACTTCGTTTTCCGAAAGCCTGAAAATCATTCAAATTCAAAACAAACGTAAATAATAGTTTCCAGACAAAACAGACCATCGTTGGCCTGAAATCAACCGTTATCTTCCAGTTCGATAATACTCCAGCGTCTATGCCGACACTTTCTATTTAGCTATAACAAACGATAATAACGCTCGGTTGTTACGAAAGCGACACGCGATCTTTGTTTTCGTTTCAACGATGGTTTTGTTTCGTAAACAATTTTACTTTGTTCGGAGCCGCGTCGCGCGAAGAACATCGAGAATCTTCGCGAGACGTTGGCCTTATAAAATCGCCTGGCTTTGACGTAGACTCTTTGTGCGACGTACTGGCTACTGCGTCTCCGTTTTTCGAGTATTTTCATATTTACCGAGAAGTCGCGGACCATTCCACGTGCAGCATCGCGAACGGAAACGTCACCAGTAGTTACAGACGGCACCAGTATGCTCGACCTCGATTCCCGCTCGCGCGTCTGTTTCTCATCGCGCGGATAAAATATTCACCGTTTTGCAACGATAATAGTCTGCTTCCTTAACGAAACAAATCGTTCGGGGAACCAACTTCCTCGTCGTGCGGCGTGCCCTCGAAATGATCGACATCGAAGCTCTCGTTTAACAATCTATTATTTTTTTTTTCCCTTTTTTTTTTTTTGTATATTCATTTTACATTACTTAACAATAAAATCGTAATATCTTGCGAAGCCACGAGATATATACATTCGATACTTTTGAAGTTTACCTATGGATAAAATCCTCTACGCGTATCGTGTATATTTCGTTTCGCGAATTTCTGTGTACAGGCGGTGAGCTTGTCGATAAATTCATAAATCAGTCAGCGGTTCGTGCGCGAAGTTTCGTTGCAGAGCTTGTTCGCGATCGCTAAAACGCGATTTCGGTTCGAAAGAAGTTAAGTTAAAAGTAAAACGAACGTATGCGCGCGCACAATTGGAAACGCGTCGAATCGTTTATAATCGAAATCACGTTATTATTGATATGAAAAGGGAGTAATTGCTCGACTAAGCTATTAAACGCTACGATTAAGTATTTAATTGCCCCGTTACCTTGTGCTTGAAAACAAGACACTATTTTTTTTTTTTTTGTTGTTTCTTTCTTTTTTCCTTTTTTAATCTAATTATTGTATACCGTAGCTATTCGTCTATGTCGACCGAAATATTCTAAGCGCACGTTGCGTAAATAGATCCGACGATGCGTTGTACTCTGTTCTCTAAGAGGATACATATAATTCGTAAATACAAGTCTTCGGTATTTGGTGTTCTCTGGTATGTTATAAATGTATCACGGTTAAAGTCGCGAGTATTAGTTTGAAGCCTATCGTACGAATATCGAAGAGAAGTTTCGAAACACGCGTGCCCCATGCAGTCGTGATACGTACGAGTAATATAGAAATCGAATTACAATTATTAAAATTGATCGACGTACGTTAAAATGT